TGATTGAATGGCTTCTCTTTTTAGTTTGTACCCTTCTGTACAGTTTAATTTTTAATGGGTATATATTGTTATTATATTTTAATGGATATATATAGGTATTTTATTTAACAAATAACTACTGTAACAAACGAAACAATACAAACATGAATAAATAGAGCTAACCAGAACTTTCTCTCTCACATCCCTCTTTCCTTTTATCCCTGCAAAAATGTACGTTTATTAACTTATTCTCACCACTGACCACCCCACCCCCATCCTTAGAAAAGCAGGAAAAATAATAGACATAAATGAACAAATCCTTCAGATTCCCCAGACTCAATTATATCCCTGAAGAGCCGTGTCTTATTTCAAAGTGCCCCCAGCATTAAACAGGAAATGTCAGATTAGACCAGTCCTGAACACCTGATCTGCAGGAATGAAAACCAAACTCCACCTCAACCTCAGAGCCTGCCAGAGGACCACAGGGACTTACCAGCTGCTAAGGCGAGTGAGAGAACATCTGCCTTCCAGTCCCAGTCCTGCCAGTAGCCAGCTGTGTGACCATGGACAAGGCCCTTCTCCTCTCTGAGGCTCTATTTCCCCTATTAAATGGGGGTGACAATGCCAACTATTAAGACTGTTAACTGGATCAAAAAAGGTCATGCAAGTAGGAACATATTTTCAGTTGCAAAATTCTCCACAGAGCTACAACAGCAGGAGGCTTACCAGCCTTTGCATAAAGGGAGGCCACTTTTTATTTTGTGCAAAATTCATGAATAGACACAGAGGGAAGAGAGGAATAAGGGGTGGTCCTTGGCATTTTCCTCCACCCTGGAAATCCAAACCATGAAGAGGGTGTGTGTGTGTTTATTGTGCCGGGGAGGGTGATTTGGAAGATAGTGGGTGTGCAACACACCCAGCATCCGATCCCTGCCTGGAGCTGTTCTAAGTGAGTTCTGAGATCTGCCCGTAGAATCCTATGTTCTGGCTGCAGAGTTGAGGTTTGGGCCACAGGAGGGAGGAACTGGCAAGAAAGCCTGCTAACTATGCTTTCCTGCTCTTTCCAAAGCACCTATTCATCAGGCTGTAGCTGGAATCTGGGGAAACCAGGTGGGGTGTGTCCAGGAGGCAATACCAGAGGAGGTCTTATGGTCTGCATCAGAGCCTGAGCCCCAGGACACCCCACTCAACCTCCACTCAGCTCTGTGACACCAGGCAAGGCGCCACTCCTCCCTGGGGCTCATTTCCCTTTCTGCAAAGTAAGGGAGTCAGACTAGAACAGGACCCTTTCGCTCCATAACCATAGTCATTCTGTGCCTGCCCATCAGGGAGTGGAGCTTCCAAAAACAGAGGAGTCATTGAGAGCTGGGCTAGGAGCCTCTGCAATTCCCACCAGCTTTTGTCAGGGGCAGACACAGGCAGTTTTCTTCCCTCTGCTTCCTGTGTCCTGCCCTAATGCACTGAAAACCTGTGAACTAATTTTTCTTCCCCTCCCAGAAGGAAATCAGAAGAGGTTGGAGAGAGGCTGGGAGACGCAGTACATAGGCTTACCGCAGGGGGCCAGGAGAGAAGACATACACACCAACATCAGACAAACGAAACTTTATTCTGAAAAGCAAATTAGTAACCACCACTAAACTATTAAACGAGGCACATCGGTCCCCTCTCGCTACTGGCCCACACCCCTCCCACTCCCACCCTCTCTTTTGGCCTTTGTAGAACACTAGAAAAATCTCTCTTGGATCCGCAAGTGGTCCTAGACTTTTGGACTGGTAGGAGTCCACAGTGGTCTCAAGCTGGACTGAGTCCTGGAGTCTAATGAGGGAGGCCAAGGAGGCTGGCTCCAGTATTCAAAAATTCTGGGCCAGGTCAGGTGGCCATTCCTATGGTACAGGGTCTCAGAGGGAGGAGGGAATGGGTGTGGGGGCTATTTTACATGTCCTGCTCACATCTGGAGAAGCAGCTGGAGGCCAAGCAGGAAGGCACATTTAGAAGAGCCAGTGAGCTCTGGAATGTTTCAGGCACATCTGAATGGATAAGGTACCATGAAGGCCAAGGAGACGTCTACTCCTGAGTAAGGTCACCTGACCAGAGACAGAGCACCATGAGCTGGGGGTCTGGTTCTGAGCTGAGGATGCAACTTCAATGGTGATCTGAAAAAAGAGAAAAGGAACAAAAGCTGGAGCTAAAACCCATTGTTTAGGGCACGGAGGTGCACAGCTCAGTTCCATGTGTCTGGAATCTTGGGCCCAAGTCACAGCACAAGGAGAATCGGAATTTCTCTTGTGTGACGGTAAAATGAATCTTCACGCATCTTGGATCTTCCACTGGACAATGTTGAAGGGAAGCTGCCGGGCAGAGGTCGTCCACTCTCCCCACTCTGCAGCCCTCTGCTGGCCCAGCCCAGAATGGCGTCCCCTGCCAAGGGAAGCGAGCCCTGGGAGAGGTTGACAGAACCGCTACGGGAATCTCCGTGGCCTCAGCAACATGGAAACCTGCAACAGAAGAACCAAAGTCACGGGCCATCCGAGGCACCTCCAAGTATCCCAGCAAAGGCCAGCCACACGCTCTGGCCGGCACGAGTGGTGGGGGCTGAGAGAACAGGTGTCCCGCCTGGAGGAAGGCGGCAGGACTCCAGCCTAAATGAGACAGTGAAGGGCTCAGTGTTCTAGGATTTCCCGAAGGAGAGAGAGTAACAGTAGCGACAACAACAAAAATAACAATTGTCACGGATACAGAGTTTCAGTCTTGCAAGATGAAAAACGTTCTGGAGCCCGACAGTGGTGATAGTTGCACAACAGTGTGACCCTACCTAAGGCCACCAAACCGTACACTTTAAAATGGTCGCATGGTCAATTTTATGCTAGGTATGTTTTACCACGATTGTTTTTAAAGTAGCCACATAAACCGTCTCTAACATGTATTGACCCCCTACTCTAGAGAGTACAGCCCTGTCTTGAGGAGGCCAAACTGCCAGAGTCCAGATCCTAATTCCACCCATCACACCGTCTGGGAGGCTCTGGACAAGGGACTCAACCTCTCTGTCACTCCTCTGCCTCCTAGGGAACAAGAGCACAACTCACCTCAGTAGGGCCGAAAGAATGAAAGAAATATGTCTAAGTGCTCCAAGCAATGCCCCGCATAAACGCCTCCATGCTCCGCACTGTGCCGCTCCCAGGTCTTCATAGCTACAACAGAAAAGCTTCACCCTCTCTACCTAAGCTTTAAAAACACGCTCCCCAAAACACATTCTGGCCTCCCCTTATTCTAGTTTCTAATCCAGACAGGGCTGAGCTTTTTCCAAGAGCAGACCTTTGCAGGATGTAGAAAAAAGGCCGCACTGGTACAAGCCTTTGGGCATTGTGGTGGTCACCCCTCCCACTTGCTCCCTGAATAAAAGCCCCTTACCTTTCAGCAAAGGGGGCTCTGTGTTTTTTATTCAAAGGCCTATGACCCCTCCAGAAAGTCAAGAAGCACCTCACCTTACAGAGGCTGGGCCAGCTGTTCACCCCAACTTTGGAGTTTTCTTCTCTCTTCGCTGAGACCCACTCCTGCCAGTTGCTCACAGTCAATGCCAGCATCTCTTATAGGCAATGTTCCTTTTGACTGGGAAGCCATCTGGATAACCTTGACTTCATTTTTCAGACAATGTAGAGGAACATTCAGGTCCATCAATTCCCACATCTCTTGCAGGCCTGGCAGGGACAGCTATCTTCTCCCCCACTGAGGCAAGCCCTCCCTCTGCTAGAGAAATTCCCTGGGAAAGAGAAGGAGCACTCCAGATCTTCATTCATACCATAGCCAATGGGTTGGATCCCTTAGGAATGAATGACAGCCAAGCCAGCACGGGGATGCTTGGAAGTCTTAGGTGGCAAAATCTAATTGGTCCAGGTCCAGAGGCAGGTAACACTGTAAACTAAATTACTCGGGCTTCTTTTATAGCGGGACTTCTCAGAGTCTTTGATATGCTAATGAGCATCGTGAATCTCCAAAAAAGCGAGATAGCACCTTGACAAACCCATTTGGCATTGAAACCCTCTTTTAGAGGGTAGCTCCAGAGCTAGGGTTCCCGGGAACACCCACTGCTTTAATGTAAACAGTGCTGGACTGGGAGTATGGAAAGGTGGTTCTAATGGGAAACCGGAAACGGGGATCTAATCTTATTCTGGCTTTGCCAAGAACAAGGGGTGAGGCTCACCTTGACATTCCTTTAGGGTCCTGTGGGATCCCTAATGCAAAAATATTGGGAGGTGGGGGTGGTGGAGCAGAAGCCCGTGAGAGGGAAGTCTGGGAAGGTGAGACCAGAGAAACTAGTGTGCGTTTGGGCCTGGCCTCCAAGAACCCCGAGGACAAAGGCGGAGCAGGCAGAGGCGAGAGAAGACTCCAAAAGTGCAAAGGTGCAGCCCGCGGGCCTTTCCAATCCATCCTCACCTTTGCAGACGGGCCCCACCCAAATCAGAGCGCGGACTGCGCAGGATGCCCTCACAACCCCGAGCTGAAACGAAAACTCTTCGCTCATCCTGAGACCAGTGGAGGCCTGTCCTCAGCTCTGCCCGCGGCTGCGAGACTGCCCTTCACAGCGCTCGAGGCTGAAAGAGGGGCCAGGGAACAGGGGTGCTCTTCCGACAGCGGGGCGGGAGCGAGAGGGCAGTGGCGCAGCCAGAAGGCTGGTTCCAATTGGGAGCCTCCCCCGGATCTACGCGGCGCCTGTCCACGTCTCGCTCTCGGCACGGAAGGGGGCGAGGAAGCGCGAGGTTTCGCCTCGGACAGCCAGGGTGTGTGGGGGCCCGCTCCTCGGAGGCGGCCCTGCCCGGGTCCCAGGAACCGGCGCGGGCGGCGCGGCGGGCCGGACTCTAGGCGGCGGCTCTGCTGTCGGACGGGAACGGCCGGCCAGGGCGCCGGGGCGCGGGCGGGAGCGCAGGGCAACGGGTGGGTGCCGGGGCGCACGGGCGCGGGGCGGCGGCGCCAGGAAGGACGGGGGCGCCGGTCTCGGGAGGGTCCCCGCCCCGCGGCGCGGCGGCTCACGCCACCTCCTGCTCCCCCTGGTAGCGGCGGCAGCAGCCGTAGAGGGCCGAGAGCAGGTAGAGGCCGAGGCAGAGGCCTCCGCAGACGGCGGCCGCCAAGAAGGCGTGGTAGGCGCAGGCCATCTGGTAATCCTTGAGGTTGCAGTAGCTGTGGCTCTGGGTCTGCGCGATCATGATGCCCGTCGCGGCGCCGTAGAGCGCGGCCGCCAGCAGGTCGTGCGCCACGTTGACCACGAGCCAGCGCGAACCCAGCACGGGCACCAGCTCGTGCTTGCCCAGCAGCGTGAGGAAGTAGAGGCCCAGGGTCAGCAGCCAGAAGAGCACGGACACGAAGAGCGCGAAGTGCACGGGGCCCTGGTACCTGCTGGTGGCGATGGTGATCCAGAAGGCGGCGCCGGCCAGCAGCTGCAGCAGCCGCAGCACGCCCAGCGGGCCGCGCAGAAAGGCCCTGTGCAGGCGCACGGCCCCGCGGACCGCGCGCGCCTGGGGCGGGGGCTGGCGCGGGGGCGGCGGGAGCATGGCCCCCGGGCGCGGCGGCGGCTGCGGCGGAGCCCCGAGTAGCGGAATGGCGGCGCCCGGCTCGCGGGGGTGGCCCGGCCGACGTGCCCGCTGCGCCCGCGGCGGCCTCCTCGCGTACCTCCGAGGCCCCTTCGCGCTTCCTCTCCGCTTCTCCCCACCCTTCCTCCCCTCTCTCCACCCTCCAGCCCTCCTCTCTTTCTCTCTCCCTGTCTCCACCACTCCTACCCGCCCTTTGGCTTCCCCTCCCTGTCTCCACCCCCACTCGCTCCTCCCGGCTTTCTGCCATCTCTTTTGGGCCTCGCTCGCCACTCCGGCCCCCCTTTCCTGCAGGCGCCAGACTCCCAGCTCGGATTCCTTCCTCCCCGGGGCGCGGCAGAGGGCACCCCCCCGACCAGCCCCCTCCGGGCCGACCGCGGGCCTTCCGCTCTGGCCGCCCGGGCCAAGTTTGGCACATCTGGGGCCACCCTGCCTGCCCTGCCTCCCTGGCTCCCCTCCAGCCTCGGAGGGGAAAGCTGTCTTCTGGAGCGTACTCTCGGCCTCTCGCTGGGCCCCTTTCTTTCTACTTTTTCCTGCCCTAGGGTCCACCCGGGCCTCCTGGCCTTTTCCTGGCCCTGAAGGAGAGCAGCACTGGTCTTAAGCTGACATCCATTCTCACCTGGACATCTGGAATATGTCCACCTCACACTTCTCTGGTCCGAAGGCTCTCAGACATCAGAGAAAGGGACCGTCTCCCACCAGAGACCCCACTGCCCCTGGCACACACCACAAAGCCAAGTGCTATCAGTCCATCCTCATCTTTCCAACGTCCTTGCCATCCAGTGTTGCCTAGATTAAAAATGTGCTACCCAACATGGCCAGGGCACAAAGCCCAGAATAAGAGACAGCAAAGACCATGCCCTTAACTACTAGGCAAAACAGCCTCTAATGGAACCTAATGATGCTTTACACTGTCCTTTACATGTATGCCCACGTAAGCCTCAAGACAGCCTCAGAGATAGAATTATTTCCCTCCTTTTACTGAGGAGGAGAAATGAGGTCTAGAGAGGTTAAGCCCATGAAGCTGGTAACTGCAGCTGGTGTCTCTTGTCTCTTCATCCCATTCAACCTTCGTTCACTGTGACATCTTTCTAAAACACAGACCTCTAAAACACAGACCTGGTGTTGCATTGCTTCCTTCACTGACCACAGGATAGAGTTCTATCTCTTCTATGGGCATATTTCACAAACTGGCTCCAACTGACTTTCACTTTTCTTGTTTTCCACTTCCTTTCCTTACCCATGCTCCTACCCCGCATGCTAACCCCACCAAAACTCTCAAATTCCCCCAAATAAGCTCAGAATGCCCTTCATTCCCAGACCCCACTTGGCTGGCAAACTCCTACTTATCCTTCAATGCCCAGTTTAAATGCTCCTCCCTTGGGTCCAGACTCCCAGACTGTTGATGGCTGGCTCGTTAGGCCCTGTCTGGGAGCATCCAGTAGTTCTGCGGTACTTCTGGGTCTGGTACATTGCAAGTGCTGGCTGTCACCATCTCTGCCTGGCACAGGGGAAACTCAATAGATGTCCACAGAGTGGATGACCAAGTGGCTGTGGGAACAGCAATGAAAATGAGAGGGCCCTCATACCTGGGGACCATGCATGATTCAGTCCCCCAGCCAACCCTCCCTGCAGAACTAGCCCCTCATCTCCTGGTCATGTGATGTGGCCATTGGCCCCCTGGCCTGGCTGAGCAGGTCTCTCTTCCAGCAGCCTGCCCCCCTCCCCTTGTAGGAGAAAATATATGTGGTTTTCTCAGGGGACTAATGCCTCTCGCTGCACAGCCCTGCCTGCAGGGACCTGAGAAAGCTTGAACGCTTATTTTAAATGAATAAAAGGTGATGTATAACATCCATATCTGTGTAAGATAGCATGGTATTGAGACTCAGGGTGCAAACCGTGGAGGCAGACTGCCTGACTATGCATCACTGCTTCACCACTCCTTCATGCTGGGACCTGGGGTGTGTGTGTGCACACGCACATAACACTTTGTGCCCCAGTTTCCTCATCTGTGAAAGCCTTTCATTCAGCAAATGGGTATTAAGCAACTGTTAGGCACTGGGCACTATTTTAGGGTCTGGGGATACATAATACATATGTGATCATTATTAATTAAATGCTTACTATGCTCTAGGCACTGTTTTTCATTGTTGTTTTTTTAAGGAAGCTCTATGCGCAAGGTGGGGCTTGAACTCACCCCAAGATCAAGGGTTACATGCTCTACCGATTGAGCCAGCCAGGCGCCCCTATATTCTAGGCAATGTTATCTCTCATTTGCTGGTGGGGAAGCCAGGGCTCAGAGGGTTAAGGAAGGTGACCATGTTCACAGAGCTGATGGGTGACAGTTTAAACAGGAGCCCAGATGTGGCTGGCTCTAGGTGACATTCAAAGTGCTTATATATAGTTTCCCATATTTTATTCTCAGCTACTGTTACAGGGACCCAGAAAGGTTACATAACTTGCCCAAAGAAACAGAACTGGCAAGGGTCAGTGTAGAGACTCAAACCTAGGTCTTCTGATCCCAATTCTGGGGCCTTTCTAAACTCAGCATCCCTTAGCAATCAATCCCTGGCGAGACATCCTCGATGTCCTCCGGTGCCAATCTTGAGAAGGGCTGGAGCTAGGACAGGCACCTGGGGGCTGAATCTGGGTGCTGGGCTGATGACGGGGTTATACTACACAAACTACCTCTGTGAGCCCGGGACCTAACCAAATAAACATTTAGACGGAGAAAAGAGAGTCCCTCTGTCGCCTAAAAAAGGCATCTGGAGACTTAAGGGTAGAGCGCCACCTGGTGGGCACAAACCTGCAACCTCACAGCTAAGTCCAGCTCCTTACAAGGAAGCAAATGGGGTGGCTTTGGGGAGATATTTTTAGCCTCTGGAATCCTGAAGACATTCCAAGCAGCAGTCCCAGGAGACTCTACAAAAGCAGAAGCATGCAAGAAGATCTTGATCCCTCCAACTCAACAAATAAGACCTAAGCACCTACGGGATGCAAACAATCGGGGTGTGGAATGTAGGAATAAGGAGCAAAAGCTCCTGCCCTCACAGTGTTCACACTTTTTCTGGTAGTGGAGGGACAGCTGTGGACACAAAAGAAAGAGGTGGATGCAAGGAAGTCCAAAAGGGAGAGTATGTGTGACGGGAGGGATGGGAAAGCTTTCAGATTGAAGTGTCTCTGGAGAGTGGATAGAACTGTGACAAGCAGAGATCGGGGCTAGGCATTGTTGGGCAAGGCAGTCCACCATGGGGCCTGAGCAGCTCTGGCTCTTAGCACTGAGTGTGCTAAGAATGCAGAGCCCTGGTCGCCCATTTGCTTTCCCACCACTTCTCATCGTTGTGTTCTGCAGCCAGCAACGTTGTGGGATAAGGGAACACCTCCCAAAGAGCAGGCTTGCCTTGTTGCTTACTATAAAAGTGGTGGGGGTAGGAAGGGACAGGGGTGGGTTCTCCAAGCTCAGTGCTCTGTAGCTGTGACATAAAGCTCCTGCATGGGTAACCCATCTACCTGGACCCCTCTGCTTTGCCCCCAGGGGAAAGAGACATAAGGATGATGCTCACGCTGCGTGCTGTGCCAAGAATGGTAAATCCTTTGAGTCTGACTCAGGAAACCGTGTCTTCTGCCCACATTCATGAAACAACAGCAGGCTAGCTTATTAGCTTGTAAGCGGGGTAAATCGCAGCCCTGACAGGTTCTATAGGCAGACGGAACAGTGTGAGCAAAAGTAGGGCCTACGTTGCTCAGGGAACAAGAAGTAGTGAAGTAGTGATGCTTGCTGGGTACTCTAAGCCCCAAAGCAATGACTTTCACATGCCCAGAAGGGAAGACAGCTTATAACAAGGAGGAATGCGTGGCCACCCTGAGATCCCACGACCCACCCCTGATGTTCGGTCAGTTCTGTCTTCAGTCTCTGGGCTACTGTAAATTACTGCATATATGGACTCAACTCACATTGGTTTAATACCTATTATGTGCCAGGCTCTGAGCTGACACTTGACTTAAATTAGCTAACAGCAGAGGCAAAACTCACAGTGAGGAAGTAGGTGGGTGTTGGGACCTGCAGAATCTTGCCTGGAATCTTAGAGTTAAAATTACTAAATAAACATTTCCTGAACACCTACTATGTACGTACCTGGCATTATGCTACAATCCTATACCTGAGTTGGAAGAGGCCTTAAAGATCATTTGCTCCAGGCTTCTCCTTTTATGAAGGGGTAACTAAAGCCTGGAGAAGGTAAGTGACTTGCCCCAGGTCACACAGCTGGTTGATGATGTGAGTGCCAAGTTTAGAACTTAGGTCTCCTAACTCACAATCCAGTGTTCACTCGGGGCAGGGGGCTCTGCACATGAAGTCTCATTTGTCAGCCAAGTGGCTCACACGTCCAGGCCTGTTCCCAAGGCTGTGGGAACAAGAACCTCTGGAATGGTGGGTGGGGTCCCCTCTGGGTTGGAGTTGGGTAGGAACCTGGATGGCTCTTTAGTTTGTTATTCCAGCCCACAAGGAGTACCTAGCCTTCACTGGAGCTATGAAGTGGCCGGGATTCTGGGCCCCTTTGGGCAGACAGAGGCAAGGGACCACAGGCTGGGCATGAAGTGGTAAAGGCGTCTGACTCTGACAAAGCTCAGCCCTCGCTCCCCAGAAGCTGGCCAGGACCAGACCTGAAGCCACAGGTACCCTGTGAGGCTTATCTGTGTGTGAAGCCACCCAGAACACTGGCTGGGAAGGCTGGGTCCCTAACGCTAAATAACCATGGGTGACCAAGGTAGATGTCCATGATACTTCACCATTAATTGGCTGCCCATGAGGTGCTGAAGATGACCTCCTACTGGGACTATGATGGGGATGTGCAGATACCAGCAGACCGTATTCCTGGGGAACGGAGGGGCCTCACCTATAAAGATGGACACTCTGAGCCAGGATGGACTGAATCAAACACCACCACTCTGCCAGTCAGCCTCAG